TATATTACTAATGTGCATGTCATACCTATCTCCACCTTTTCTTTTTGGTTATTACTGTAAATATTTTTTTTCATACTTGTATATACCGTATTCTTACAATTTTTTCTGGTTGTTGTTATTATTATAACCAGTGTTACCTCCGGACACTCTGGAAGGAGCTATGTGGACATAGGCCTGATAAGCTTATTTTGTAAATAGTTTTAAATGTTATTTGTATTTATCCTGTCAGTTCTTCACTGCATTTACATTTTTCATCAAATGATTGTACGTGTTGTTTAAGTGTATGACCTTGGACACATTTTCTTCCGTCGTGTGACATTCATAGCATAACACACTCTGTTAACTGCTAACAAATACACTGCTATACACACCTCTTGTTCTTCATTCGCTCGTGATTGTGTTAACTGAACTCTAAATCAAATACTGTCTACATTTATAGACTATAATCGGGATATATCATATTCTACATTTGGTTATACCACTGGGAGGACATCAACCTTACTGGAATATTCAATCATCTATAATTGTGGGTTTCGGTACCACACTCAACCAGAACACGCACAAACCTGTTGAATTAAGTAACGTCTCTAATTTTTGTTGTGTTTATAACATATTAAGTGATATATTAACATTACTATTTATACTTAATAACTCTGTTATCATTTTTGAGTTCATATATTGTTTGGTCCACCACACCACTTACAGATTATTTCGAAAGATAATATTTGATTGCTTTATAACACAATGTTTCCGATTCTGGAAGGGTGCTTCGATTCACAATCAAAAGTGCACGATTCCAGCCAATGCAAGCAACACAATCAAAGGACGAACAAAATCAACATGGCTGCCGCCAAGGCTAAGTATCAACTAAAACTACATAAATGCAATTCAGAAAGAAACATAGAAACTCAGTAAAGGCGTAAGAATAAAAACTATGATAAAATACAAATATTACCATCTCAAATGTAATCAAAAAGACTAACAAAATGTACAAATCAATGAATCAATAGGAACAAAGTACAAGTGTATACATGGAGGGATTTTCACACAAAAAAACCTTCAAAATGGATCTTACACTAGTCGTTTTATATCTGGTTTAAAACCATTATCACCAACTAGGCATCCAAGATACTCGAAACTGGATACAAAAAGTGAACGCTTATTTGGATTCACCATAGTATTCTTCTTAATTAAACGACGCAATAAAGCAATAATTCTCTGGTCATGAACTACCTTATCAGAACCATGAACAATGAGATCATTTTGAAAGACATCAACACCTTCAAGATCACTATCTTGTTCATAACTTTCTGAAATATGGCTGGAGAACGACTTAGACCAAATGGAAGGAAGTTGGGTTTAAACAGACCAAAAGGAGTGTTAATTGCCCTCAAAATAGATGAAGATTGATCCAAAGTGATTTGCAGATAAGCAGCTTTTAGGTCAACACTCGAGAACACTTTAGAACCATGAAGTCGATTTAGAATATTTTCAGCCTCTACCGTCGTGCACGTTTGCTTCAACAAACGGGAGTTCAGTATTAATTTACAATCTACTCTAGGGGTCTTGTTATCCAACTTCAATGAAGTAAAAAGAGGAGTACGCCATGATGAAGACTTAATTATACTTTTCTCACACAAATTGTTAAATAATTTATGTAATACATCTCGAAGACCATAAGGAATTACTTATCTTTTGAGAAAGATTGGATTTCCCTGCACTAGAAATTTTATAGGCTGCATTTTCAAACATCAACTGCACTTAGCACACACAGCTATGATATCGTCAAGTAAAGCATCAGAATTTTCTTTGGGACTAGTAAAGACAACGCCACTTTAAGACTATTCGAATTTTTTGAACCTAGTATTGACAGTCCTGTTTCGTTAACCGAAAATTCACAAGGTATATATGAAGAATCATCATCTTTAACTAGCAATTCACAACAGTGGTTTTGCATACTAACTGAATGCATCCTATCTTACCTTTGTGATTCCTTGATGAATCACCTTTCGTATTTTCGTGAGAATAGGAATCACTATTATACGACAGCTTCATAGTTAGCACATGCAGTTCGAGCATCTTGAAAGGAACAGTTTGGCATTCTTAGCAACTCCCTTTACAGACCTGGTATGTTAATTCCTGAAATTAATCGATCTCTCAGCGGCATGTACTGTGGCGTCGAGTCGCGGCTGACTATGACCACCACTACAGGAAGACTACGTGCCAGCTAACCGATAAGATCCTCCGTAGGCCAAATACCAGAAGGCAGTTGGTGGCTGCAGTCGAGATGTATTTGTTGGCGATCTCGTGGTATCGAAAGAATACCGAGATCGTGCCAGGTTACAAGTGCGGTTACTGAGCGTAACCGAATTCGTGCAAGGTCACAATCCACGGAAGAATGTGTCTTGGTACAGGTAAACAAACACGTACGGCAAAACAATCCCTGGTACAGTTGGTTGTAATAATAATTGTTTCCATTACACTTGATAAAAGTAGGTCACTACAGGCACATGAAGTTGATCACCAAAATTGCATTCGGTAGCTTGTCTTTGCAATTCAAAGATGGATTCCCTAAACTTCTGGTTATTCTGACGAATCATCTTACGGAATTTTGCTTTCTCACGACATTCGAAACTGGTGCACTTGACCTGATTTAATAGTAATTCCTAAGAGTTGCATAAGGAAGTGAGATAGTCTTTTCTGAATATGTCAAGGTTTTGCATAAACCATAGGCTTCTTTTCCGATGAATGTAAGGAAATGTGCCACAATTTTATCACCCTTCGCATCTTTCTTGGTCATGCTCCAGATTTCAAACCTCTCCAAATAATCTTCAAAAGTTGAGTGGATGTCCAACTGTTCCATCACAGGCACCATTGCGACGCCAATGTGATAATTCAGAGTATTTGAATTATAGTACAAACTAAGAACACCAGAAATAACGCAATTTAACTAAGAACTATATGAACATGGACGAACGTACTGTTTGGAATTCTAAACCAAGCACTCATCATGTACATAGTGACCATTAGTTCATACAAACACCACATCTTACCTCACTGTTACCATTTTTAACAGAAACCTATTATTGCAATTATTATCATCCTAAAAAACGACTATATATATCTACGACTGTGCAGCTGTAAAAACTAATTTGCCGAAAAAAGGACTCTTCGCCCAATTAATATTTATTTTGTCTCGATGGATATATTCCTTTTGCTTCATTTTTTCGGTCCATTCCACTTTCGTTTCACACCACTGCTCGTGGTCATTGTGTAGGCCTTTTATCAGTCTACTTTCAAGTCGCCTGCACTACTCATGGTGTTTTAAGCCTGATGAGTTTACGAGCATCTGTCAGCTCAGTAGATGTACGGAAATCAATTGATGCTTTCTAGCCTTTTGGTTTAAGTTACCAACAGTTATCACGACTGTTTTGGATGTCATACAAAACCACTTTGGAGTTGATATTACACTCATGGTTGACCAAGTGCTTCTCTGGTTGTTTCTGAAATGGTATCCCGAATTTTTTATCAACAGGCTAAAGTGTAAAGGGTAATCTTAATGTTGCACTTTTGCTGATGCAGAAGAACATGTACTGGCACCAGAGCATGATTGCAGTCTAAGCTTATTCTCTCAAAATGGGAGACAGTCTTGTGATGAGTCTCTTTAACCGCAACGAAACAGAAGACTTTCGGCATTAGGCTGAGGATTATTGATTCCACGATGCACACAACAACACTGTCCACACGCGCCAAAATGACAGAAATCACTTCGCATGGTGCCTTCCCAAAGATGATTGATAGCAGTGTAGTCTCATGAATCTTTTTCTGAACCGATTTTGACAGTCAACACGTCTTCCTTACATTTGATGCTCACTAGAAATAAACGTTAATTTCAGAATAGTCGAAGTCTTTATAAACTGTTCCTTGAGCCTCTAAACTGTAAGTCTCAACCAATTTCCTTTCACCGTGGTTTGGACTTGTAATGGCATTGGACCCTAGCCACACGACATTTGAAGCCGAGAATATAATTACGGAAGGCATATTCAACAATTGACACGAAGAGAAGGCTAACTATGTAAAGCGGGAGCATTAACTCAATCCATCGGATGGCATGGCTCAGCGTTGCAGTCGTGGTCATTCCTGTGTAACTTATCTCTTTTATTCATAACAAACTCGGTTAGCTAAATATGGTAGAGCATGATGACGAAGTTAAATGAGAATGGCTAGTCGTGGAGACAGGAGTAATATTACGAAGGATTCTATCTTGAACAAGATGACCTTGGGTGGCCCTATAGGTATGATAGTGATTGAGAATCCACATCTGCCCCCATCAGTGGACCTGGAGAAACTATATTAGATGTTGGCATCAATACCTGGTAGCGTGATTACAAAGCCCAGAAGGCAGAAGCCTGAGACGTACGATCTATTTGTGGGACGTCATCACGAACGGCAGTAACAGTCCGGAAAAATAACAAAATATCAGCCCATTGAAATCTGCATATCGGTCGCATTGTGATATATTTTTTCTCAGAATCTAAAAGATGAAACCACTGGTTAGTAGTGGAAGGAGTGATGGCTAAAATATTGTACTTCAGAACCAAAGGGCATGTTTGATTTCACTTGAAAATTCAGAAGAGAGTTAATATATATGTACGAGCACTATGAGTGTTAATATTATAATATAATACATATGCATAAAGGTCGTCTAGAAAATAAACAAAGCCCCCCTCCCATCCCACACTAATCCTCTTATAGAAAATAATTGGCGTAGGGAAATAGACAAATTTATTTTGGTAAGAATAGTAAACCCAAGGTGAAATAATATTTATAAACTATGTGCTATAAATAGTAAAAGCATTTTGGAAGAACAAACAAATTACTGATAAATCAGTTTACAGAAAACAGAGAGCAGAAAGTGACTAATAAAGAAATAATGATGATAATAACACAAAGAAACCTATAATATTTTATCTATACAGCATAGTAAATTTATATAGAAACTAACGTTTAATAAGTTGAATATTCTTACGAGATGTGTTCATTCGACCAAATGGTCCAGGTTCATGATGATATAAATGTACTTGTTGATTTAAACAATCACTTATTGCTTTTCTACAATGAGATTTTTAAATGAAAAAAAAACAAACAATTAAATACATAATTGAGAACGGAACACTAAGTAGATTTTGTGATAGAAAAACTATCCAACTACCCCAAAATGAAATACATACGAAAAACTTGAAACCTGAAGGTCAGCAAATAAAAATCAAACGTATAACTTCCTAGTCACAACTATGATGAATGGAACAAGAATAGATTAATGGGTTGAGTGGACTTATATCCAATGTAATGTAACATAAGGAATTTAAAGTGGTTTATAAATGAAACTAAAGGACGAAATCACAGTTGCATACGAATTTTAAAGTAACATAACTGGCCGGAATACACTGATACAGAGAAACAAGGAATTTTTTCGAAAGACATCTATACAAAACTGCATTGGAACTAAATTCACAGAAATTTTTCTGCGAATTTCAACTATATAATTAAACAGATTTCTTCTCCTTTAATTCAAAAGTCCCCCTTTCTCTCTATTAGTTTGAATATGTCACTATTGGTCTTTTTGTTTAAACAGCAATTTAGGATCTGTCATTATTCAAATGAACTGCTTTAAAACCATCGTTGTTGAGTTTATCATTGTGAATGCGAGTTTAACTAAAGCTAAACATTACTTATTGTTGAGCCATTTGTCATTCATATTTTTCCACATACAAATATTTACGAGAAGCCTTTTGACTTTAACCGATGTTGAGTCCGTTATCCTGGTGAATTAACATGTATTCGACTTGATTGATGATAATTTCCGTCTTATATAGCAAAATTAATTACTTTAACATATTAAAATGAGCTAAAACTGTTATTGAAATCAAACTTCCCTATTTAGATACGTGATACCTACAATTAAGACCGATACTTCTTCCAGAAGTATTGGATAGATTTATCATCCTATTGGATCAAACATTACTGTATGGTCATTAGTTTAATCACAATAAAATATATTTTATAAGTTACCTGAAATCATTTGTCCAAAGAGAATTTTTCACATAAGCACCAACATGACCAGATTGTGGCAAATAACGAATTTCACCATTAGGATATACTTTTTTCAGTGAACAAACACTACCTCTTGGAATATATGCATCATATTCAGCTGCAACAGATAGAACAAGTCGAGAATCTATTACTGGAGAAAAATTTCCTAAATGAGTAAAATAGTCTAGAAGATCACGTAGAAACTGTCGAACTTCCGGATCTGGTGATAAATCTGTACGCGGAAAACTAACACTTGGTAAAGAAACACGTGGAAGTAATGAAATTTCTTCATGCCATCGATAACTATTCCACTGATAACGAAAAACTGTATTGAAATTAAATGTAGACAAAGAATTCGGAAGACCAGTGTATCTGAAATGTGAAAGTAGTAACTGAACATTTTAGCTAATTAAAATTCCACAATGTGGACAAGTAGTAAAAGTGCATGTAAAACATTATGGAGATACATTAGATGACGAGCGATTGGTTGTTTAATAAACTTCAGAACCTTTAACACAAAAATAAACTTAAATTTCCACAAATCTTAATAAAGGAAAGAGACCCGATAAACCAAGTATCATAACAAAGTAACTTTCAGAGAAGACAGAGAACGAAAAGCCATGGAGAAACTTGCGAATTCATTGAATACCAACGTTGATTTATAGTTTGCAAGTGAACATTATTAACAACGTCAAGAATATATCTCACAAAAGCTACCATTTATATTGGCATTGAGATTGCTTTGGTTTTCTTATTTTAATTTAATTTTTGATGTCCTAAGGTGAAATGTAGGAACTTGAACTGATACGTACTTTTACTAAAGTCTATGTCGTTTATAAGTGATAAACTGACTTACCATCGATAAGTAATCATAATGTCAAATGATTTTATTAGGCTAGCAAGTAAGGATTCTAGCCCAACAAGTAACCAAAATATTGAATATATAAATGAAAATTATCCGAAAATTTTCTCGAAAAAAAGTACATGTATGTTGGCAAAAATAAGCTGGAAATATTATTCACCGGTAGGAAACCTATATTTTTAAAACCACAATTCAACAGGGGTGTGGCTGGTGATGTCCTACATAATAGATTAACAAGAGTAGTTAATAGGACATTCTATACAGACAACCCTGCATTGAAATCTCCTAGTAGATCAGTGATATCTACTCACCCTTATGATTACTACTACTACTACGCCTGTCCTCTTACTATTTGTACTTTTTACCTATTATACAATCTATTTCACTGTGATCATTGACTCATTAATTGCTTTGATTGGTTAGTATTTTCATATACTCACATAAATATTGATCTTAAATACAGTAAATCCTGATGACGATCTAATCTAAAACAATACTGTTCGTATATATTGTGATGTGGGCTACTGACGTCGATAGACATAAGTAGTATGTAGCACAAATCGAAAGTGAAATGCATGGCGGCATAAAATTGAAGAGAAGAGAACGAGAACAGAAAGTGATTGGTGTAGAAACGAAGGAACAATCAATTCTGATGAAATTGGTTGACATTTTTCAAATGAAGTATTTACTGTATGGTTCTCAGATTTTACTAAAAGATTTTGTAATATTTTATTGAAATGCATTTGGTTGTCTCCACTTGTGTTTTCGTTCACTACAATATGAGTTGTTCAAATCAAAATAAACTAAAATTTCACATCAACTTACATAAAGCTGGGAAGAAACTTCTGAGCAATAGTAAATTTGTGTGTATTAGAATGGGATGACGATAACTGGGAGGTTGAATTAGATATATTAATAAACTGAGACAATAGATCACGAACTTGAAAACTTGAGTATGGTGATTTTAAAGGATTTCTTTTAATAGAATGTAAACGTGAATCCAATTGTTTTGAGAATGTAGCCAAAGGAGCAACATTTACAGGATTTGAGTGCTTTGAATGTAAAGAGTTTATTGAAATGGTTGAATATTGAAGATTGTCACCTGTAAAAGCATGAAAAGTAATACTTAGAAGACATAGGGAGAGTTTAAAACACATAACTTTGCATAACAACAATAAATACTAAAACTTTTATGTTTATTCCAGAGACTACTTATGAATTTAACTATAGATCAAAGGTGAACTACACAGCTTTAGATCTTAAAAGCGTCAATCCAATAGAGTTAAGTGAAACAAACTCTCAAAAAGGAAAAGTACATAAATAAATTATGAATGAAGTATGAAAACGTTTGTAATTATGATGAAGAAAAGGGTCAGTGGTTTTCAACCTTAAACATATGTGAAACTCATCACTTAATAAGATAGTTGTTAATCTTACCACTGAATTATTACACTGAATACTCGAACCACTCAAAACTTGAAATAAATTATTGTTCTAAATGGGGGTCAAATAATTCTAATGAAGAAAGGACTAAGTTACACGACTAACTAACAGACGTTAACAAAAATGAAGCTTTTGTATTCACTATTGATTAAATGCTATTGCTTAAATAGTGCAATGTAATCATTCAACTCATTAATCGATACAACCGAATATATGACATTATTTAGGTCAATATTTCTTTGTGGTAAATTCATTATGAATTTCGGCTAGGGTAACAGGTACGAACTTCACCCAGTAACATTCAAGAGTCCGTATTACTTGTATCGATTCTGTATGAACTTCAATATGACAAATGAGAACTCTCGTTCCATGTATAAATCCAGGAGAACTATGTTTAATGTATTTTTTTACAGTAACACCATATTTCCACCACCTAAGTGATATAAAATGTGTGAAAATTAGTAGATAAATGATTGCATTTTAGTCTAATGATGACATAATTTTGGACGTGATTTTCAGGACTTGTTTGGGAATATGTTTCTAGGGTGCCAATAAATCTTTGTTAAATCAGTCTTTCATGTCCTAATATTGCATTGTGTGGTTTGTAATGATTTCCGTTTCCGCCTACAAGTAGTAGGATCGCACAGTTACAGTGGTTTTCGATTGTCAAGCGTAAGACTGTAGGTTCAAGGGAGTCGACAAGTACATAACAGCAACGACACTCTCAAACGTAGAAGAGGCGGTTGTCAGATGAAACAGTAGCGACTGATTAGTATACAACATGAGTACAACCAAATTGAGCTAAAGATTTGAAGAGTATTGTATAACATTAAGAAAATCCGTCAATAAAATGCACATTCTATCGTAAAGGAAGTCATGGTTTATTTGAAATATGAATCAAGATTGCCTAGATGCAACAGATAACACTCAATTAAACAACTGATTAGTTGGTTCTTTAACCACAAAAGTGAATAATTAATTATTAGAATTTCAGAACTGAAACTTCGTTTAGAGTAATAGACGCAATTTAGTGGTAGGCATTAATGACTATGAGGTATATCATTACAGATTCTTAACGAAAAGCGCTCCAAGATATTTGGATAAAGCTAATCGATATAGTTCATACAATGATACATTTTTTTCATTTGTATTTCAATTCTACAGCACTTCTTTTATGATTGTTATTAAGAATGATAATGTGCATTATTACCTTAGAACCGTATAAATAATTCAACGTGTTTAAAAAGATATCATGTTCTAATTTGACGATTTTAAGCATATTTTCATTCATTATAAATTAACTGTTACTTATCAAGCTGGTCAATACCCTAAAATCGGTAGATAATAACATTTCAAACAGCTTAGCTAATAGAATTTTACAATTTAAGCGTAATAAACAGAAATTCCGAAATTCATAATCAAATAGTATTTAGGTTTAGGTACAATATATAACTAGATGACAATATTACAAACTGAAAATGAAACAATTTCTTTTTACCCAAATTATCATTAAAAGTTTCATCAGTTGTTTTATAGAATTCTGGAATAGGTGGTTGAATTCGAGGTCGGATTACATCAGAATATACAGAATCAGAATAATATTGTTTTGTTAACACAGGCCAATCTACTGTATTCGATAAAATGCCCTATCAAAATAGAAAAGATAAAGAAAGATATTGAAACATATCAGTAAATGGACAATAGGTGTTATTTCCATATATGAAGAAGTGAACTCAATAAAAGACATCGTTATCCAATTCGCTGTCAATTCTAATCAATAATAAAATAAATATTTTAGTACCGAATGGCTACAAACAATTGTCTACTATATATATATATAATGATACCGAACTTTCACGTTCAATGTTTCATTTTCGCTGGTCGACTTATTTCCACTACCTTTTTAAAGTAATGACAAAATACAGTTGACTAACTATTCAGTGGTAAAAAGTGTTATAAGCTTCAAGTCTTCCTTAATGCTCGCTGAGTTTTACTGATCAAGTTTCAATGTTCCGACTAATCTAAGTGACTGAATATTGCGTGCAGCATGAGATGTAAATAACACGAAAACTAGGTCCAGGGTTTCCTGTCAACTTCCATCAATTACCACTTTACAGTGACCAATTACATTGAAACATTGTGCTTTTTGTTACATTAAAAGATAATAGAAATAAAGTGAATGAAAGTTTTAAAAAATCATACATTACTTAGTTTACCCTTTTTTTCTTGATATAAAAAGTACTTCATGTAATAAATAGTATACAATTATACATAATAGTAAGTTTAAAAACCTTATTATTATAAAGATAAATTGAAGTTGATAATAGTAATTTTATAGTGCAGAATTATGTTGCACGTGAGACTGTTGTGACACTAAGGATGACAAATAATTCGACATAATATACGCTAAACGATTAGGTGTATTGATTAAACGATAAAATATAAGAGATTAGCTGACTATGAAACAACGTACGTATTTCTGAAGCTTTCTGAAATCTTCTTTCAATATAATGATTATTATTATGCTTTCTTGACATGATCAATAGCCTTAAATTGTAACTGGGTTTTACAAAGTATTCTGATTCGCCCTAACTAACATTTGAGGACAAGATGAATACAGAAAAATAAATTAGAATAGATGGTTTCTCCAGTAAATAAGGAGCACAGACACTATATTAATTTGAAAAGTTGTATCAATTTTAGTACGTTGGTTATTAGTGAAATATTGTCAATAATTAAGAGAAGTATCTTTGAGATTTATCAACTTACATTAGTTGTACAAAATATCTACAACGATAACTAACACAATAATAGAACTTCTCTTTTTCTTAAACAGATGTTTAGGTGTAGTAAAGGTCGTTAGGAAATCACATATACGAAGAGAATAAGTATCTTTTACATATTCAATCACGCATTTTTTAAACCATAAGATAAAGATTTGTTGGGGTTAAATGTGATGTAATAGTTAAGAGAGAAGTTTTTTTAATTCATGATGCAGAAATGTGCTAAATAGATGGTTTATAAATCTGCTTAGCATAAAGAAACAATATTTACCCCCCATGTATTATTGTAGTAGATGAGTAAAACAAGTTAAGGAAAATAAGTGACTAGAAACGACATGTCAAAATATAAAAGAAAAATCTAAGTTATCGATGCCAACCTATTGACTTGGCAGCTTGCTGGAGCAAAGAATTAAATATTAGACTGAACTAGTCCTCAAAACAAATGTCGAGCATTTTAGCATATTCTCTGCTTGTAAATTGCTAAGTAATGAATCTAACTGACGTTCCATTGTACATTTACACATACCGTTTTAATTAATAATGGATAGCACTGTTTATTTCAGCGCGAGTCTATAAAGAATAAACATAAAGAAAAGTTACTTCTGGATGGAATCAAGAATTCCTCAAAGTATAGTGAGAGCGAATAGAAGTCAATGCTAACAGATAACATAAAATTCATATCATTTTCAAACATCAACTGTGTCCTCAAAGAAAGTCAATAGTTTTAAAACATCTTAAAAGCTTCTGTATTATATGAGAAAAAGTCTTTAATTCCACTGTGGTTTGTAGAAACTAAATTTAGATAATTGTGTTGTGACTACTGAGGGAGCTGAAAGTTTATGACTAGCTACGTAGTCCTCTTCTTTTTTTTCCCTTTTTTACACTTTAAATATTAATTTTAATGCGAACTGACAACTGCAGCAAATTCCTAGGTTATTATGACAACAGCCGTGCTTTTTATGTCTTAATAAATTACACCATACAGTTGTAGAAGTTAAACCAGGCTGCTTTGAGTTTGAATATATGATCGTGATTTCGACACTTGGACAATTAAGTTCAAACATAAAACAAATTTAGTGAGAATATTATGATAGAAAATTTTACAAAACGAACCTCTAAAAACACGCATGATGCTGAAGTCCAAGACAAGCAAGGAATTAGGGAAATAGGTTTCGGCCAAACGGTTGCACACAGGGATGACATCTGGTAAATTAAAACATATAAATATACAGGTTTTAAATGTAAGCACCAAACTAAGGTGTACAGAGAAAGCACAACTAAAAATATATTATTAATCTGTATATCTCATAGATACAATCCTGATTTAAAAAATATTTAGATTGGAAAGCATAAAATCAATTGTCATCAGAACAAAAAATGGTAGTTTAGCTTAACAACCCTTCTTGAAGTACACCATATAGACAATTTGTAAATATTGTTGACCTCAAGAACAACAGAAAAATTCAGCAAACTTATGCTTTAGCATGTGACGGTGCAGACTTTAAGTGCCTTTTATGCGAAAACCAGTGACCCTAAGTGGTTGCAAATAGACATGTTAACTAAGCTAATGGGAATTGAGGAGGTGATCTTCACTTCTCAAATTCTGTCACTTGAGCTTTATTGCATGCAGTTTTAAAAAAAATTAAAGTTCATCGGGGTTGCTAAAATTTAGTTTCAGATGGGAAGAGTCTGCTTTTATATTTCTGCAAACATAAGGCAGTGCTTGATTTACATTTCTTTAACCATATTAATTTTAATCAGCTTTAGTTTTAATTCTAGGTAGGGTTGGGAGTAAGGAAAAAAACAAATACTATTAATTAATACCAATTTTATGTAGTATTAACAAACAGATATGAAGATTTATTTCACTCACCATGTATCACATTTAAGGAGTATGCCAGTACATTAAGGATGATAAAATGTTTTGGAGCTTTGTAGACACTACTTACTTACTTCCTGGATATTTAGAGATTAGTAAATGAGACTTCTGTAAAATAAATCATCATTTACATGCTATTTACTTCAGGCGGTTTAGTGTAAGACGCATTTAACTTTCAACCATTCAGGTGTAAGTTCGAGACCTCTGTTATTCACTTTGGCTTATGTAGTCATGTAGTTAGTTTTGAAGCAAGACTCAAAAGAAACGTGTATTCGTCTATGTTATCAAATCTTACATTACAGCGGGGAAAAGTAAACACTAAAAAAAGCCACAACATTAGTACCGGTCAATAGGAAACAAATTATGCATAAAGAATATAGTCTGAAGAGAACCAAAACTGAGGAATATAATCTATGCGATAACCATAAAATCAAAGATTTACAGGGTGATAAACAATGGATATATCTACACCATTGCAATTTATTTGGAACCATGTTACCTGAAGTCAGTAAGCAGGGATATGAAGCTGCAGTTGATTTTTAGTGTTATAAATGAATTTACTGTACAGAGCTAATACATATATCCAATTATTTTATTCGTAAAGGAAAATTACGACTACGTGCCGAAAGCCTATTGCCATTTCGTTCTAGAAATCATTTAAGATGATTTCACTTAGATGTCGTCCCGACCAAATTGCTTGGGTATCCTAGATTAGTAACTCTCATATGTAAAGAAATCAATTACTGAGAAGTCAATATCATTAAAGACTCTTCTTAAAAGGGATTATCAAAACCGCTATTAAATAAACTAAACTGATAGTTACCAGCTAGATAATATGATATTTTTGTACATTGACTGTAATTTTAAACAAGCTATAAGATGAAAAATGGTATAATAAGTGGATAAAATGACTGATTTCGAAAGGTCAGAAAGCATCTATTCCAGTTTCGCCTTCGTATTGAATAAATTTAGGATCATTCACATTGTACCTTTAATTACTTGATCTTGTAAATGTAAATTAGTAGTGTTTATATCAAATGGGACCGAATAAGAATGTGAAACAAAACAATTCTAAATGGAACCACTTTCCTTGGCGGATTAGTAAAAACACTGCTAATAGAATGTGCCGAAAAGATAAAATGATAATAAATACTCTACAAACTATGAAGTATTTCATTACACAGTTAGGTTGCTTTAACTAATCATATGATTCGTATAGTTAGTAAATAGTTACGTAAATCTCAATAAGACAGAATTGGGCTGTTTCTTGTTTACTTTTGTTATAATTCTCTCTTACGGTTATGACCCAGCTATTCCTGTTGCTTAGTACTCTTGGACACCAATTCACTCGACAGGTCCCCAAATCAGAACACGTTTGAATAGGAAAGAGATTATATTCTAAATAACAAGCTCAGATGAAAGTAAGAAGCACAATAGGAAAAGCGTTAGTATATTTATAGTTTTTTACACGAGAAGATACTAGAGTGTACTCCAAGTATCGGCTAGCGCTGATTGGATAAGAATCAGCCAATCAGTGTGCGCCAACGCAAACGTGCATTGAGCATGATTTAATCTAATCTATGTCCCGCTAACAACTAAATCTATTCGCTGGATCTATTTCGAACCCCATATCTAACTACTAGGTGGTGTACTATTGAACTACGAAGAACGTTTTGTACTTGTAGGTATAGTATTTTGGAAATACGCTTGGTAGAATCATTAGATGCTTGTCTTCCTGTTTTGGTATGTGCACTTGGAAGTGACGTGAAGCGAGTATTTGACTACCTTTGTGTTATTTAGCATCGAGCTACGTACAGTGGAATCAATTATACTGCGAATTATGTAGTTTTAGAGGCTGACATTTTATTTTTGATTTGGCCATCTATGGGCATCAATTGAATAAAGAAATGTTTCTTTTCTCAATCAGAGGATTTATTAATTTAATTGAATAATAAAACTTCTTGTGAATACTTTCCAACAGTTGACTCCATGGAATGATATATGCCTTCTGACACTCGAAAAAATAATTGGGTTAGTGTGGATAGGTCAAGAAAGAGGGCGACAACTGCTTAAAGTCTGTCACAGACGACCCATTAGTAATAACGGTTTAGTAACACTTATTCTAAACATTTTTAGTTTGGCTGCTATAGATAGGGTAAGAAGTGAGCACTATTTTTGGAAGTACATAGTGATACACTAACCAGTCATTGTAAAAAACCAGTTTTCACTAGCAATAGATAGAGAACTACAAAAGGGACAGTTAACTACTAGCTTAAATTAATAAAACATGAATGCTTATATAGGAACCAAAAAGTCATTTGCCCATTTATTGGAAAATTATTTCAAGGAGCCCACTTGAATAAGTATTTACATTCAAATCTTTGAATAATAAAACAATCAGGAACTCTTTAATTAGATCAAAAACGTCAACTCTTTATAATAATAATCCTGTAAAGCAATTTGAATTCATTACTATATTCTGATTATACTCGATGAATTCCTTGTGATTACGGAATTCATCAGACAGAAGCAAAAACTATAAAAATTCAAAAGTTAGATTAGCTGTATATTGTAATGTATGGGATACAACATGACAAAGTTTGAACTTTCGTTAGAATGAAAATGGAAATTAGGTTAAACAGTTGGTAGAACAACTTACATAACCACCCATTGAAATTCCGTGAAGTGCAAACGGTCCGTAGCCATTACGCTCACACCATTCTAACAATGCGCTGCATTCCATAATTAAAGCTCCGCCCATGATGAACAGATCAGAAACAAACTTCAGACTAGAACCTCTAGGAGTACAAAAGTAACAGAAGACAACTTATCGATGAAATCCATCCTAAAATATTGCAAAAGGAACATGCTTGTTTGTAGAACATACAATTTCTGGCCCACTATTACATGAAAATGCACAACACGGGAAATGACAGTAACGAAATTAGAGTAGAGTCATGAAATGAAAAGTTAAATAGCAAAGGTTGGTATTTAATAAGATGGCTCCTAATCGGAGCCATGTCTGATATCTCACTTGGTTGTCCGACCTGTAATACTCTAACCGAAGAGCCGTCAGTCATGATCAAAATACAGTCTGGTTCAAATGAGCAACACCCCAAGTTGTGGCACCAAATCAGGAAAGCGAGATGAGATTAAGAAAAGTCAAAATAGTAGCAGTACCAATGATAATTGGGAAAACTAGACATCAGCGTTTGGAAAAGTATGTGGAGGACTATTGAAATTCACAGTTTAAGAAAAGGAGTGAACACATCTGCTACTACGACTGGTTCTAAAACATCACCCAAGGTCTTCAACTGTTGATAGTGGTTGTCGTGAAGACGTTAGTCAGATAATCTGCATCTACCACTACGGATGTCCAATAAACAGTGGTCTCATGAACTAGTGCAATACCGTGCTTTCGATGCTCCTGGCATCCTTCAAACTTTATCTTATCCAACCACGATAGCGTGTCAACAACATTAATCCACCGAGACAGGATGTCTCTGCTACAGGATTTCTAAGTGAGTGTGCGCAAAATAAGCACCCCGAATCCACAGATAATGATCGAATCTCAAGAATTCACATGGTTCTAGGAAAGGCCTCTCATACTTGACAAATCCTCTTATTATCAAAAAAGATTGGCCTGCTGCGAAAAACAGTAATACTCTGGTAGATGCAATTTTCATAAATCTAAATAAAGCCTTTGACACGGTCTTTCAGCTGGGTCTTAAGTAAAAACTGAGAAGTTTTTGGACCCATTTTGAAACCGCAAACTAGGTAAGACTTTCTCAATGATAGGAGACAACAAGTACGAGTAAATGAGGCCCAATCAAGGTGGGATCTGTAAACTCTAAAGTTATTCAAGACAATCCTTGGGCCTCTTCATTTTTACTTTACGTAAATAACTTACCAGCTATCACAAAGTCAGCTATTCTACACAGTATGTCAGATAGAATATCACCGAATGACCGTAATTCACTGGGTGAATAGATCTACAGGTGGTCACTACGAGTTAACTCTAACAACAGTGTAGTGATGCAGATAAATAACTGCAACAACTCACGTCACTAGACATTAAGTGAAATTGTGTTACCAAGCGCGATAGACTATAAAAATCCAGAGGCCATAATGAGCAACGACCCTGAAACTACGAGTAACTGTATGGCTTCAGCATCTTATGGTCTACTCGTAATTCATTTTGTTACTTCGGTGCAGAACTGTTAAGGACATTTTAAAATACGCATTTAAAATACGGCATTGAAACAGCGAGTTATTATTTCGATTAGGAAGGGGAGATTGTAGGACGAGTTTAACCGCGAGGTGCCAGAGTAATTAGACGTTCATCTAGCCTATCTTATGAAGACTAAGACAGACAGACTGAAATGCTTCATTCTGCATCCGTTATTTTACCACATGTTGCGGAGTGATTTAATGCTAGCTTACCGCATACCGAACGATAATCTTGGTATTATTATGTCTTATTTCTTCCTTCCGCCTACGACTAATCGTTTGAGGACACCTTAAGAAATTCAAAAACTGATATCAAATCGTTCACTTTTGGAGATCCCCTTCTCTTACCGATTAGTGAATCACTGGAATCCTCTACCACGAAACATAATATCGGTGAGACTATAATTTAATGGACGAACCAACCAGAGATGAGATAACAGGTCTTGGGTTTTGGCGTGAAATTCACTCATCCATTTAGCTAGTGTTTTGGCATTACAGCTGATATCAGTTCGTGATGAAAATCCGAAGTCCAATTCTTAACCCTAACGATCAGCTGTAAATCATAATTCTAAATCCTCACACTTGTTTATAACCACCTTTTGGTCCTAGTAATTAGGTGAATACTCAGCACTTATTGAGACATTTGAAGTGACACTAGATTTACAGAATATTACAGACTGCAAGGATTAATAAAGGTTGACTAACTCTCTATACCTACTATTAGTGAACTATACAACGTAAAACCTAATACAAACTTTGAATTTCAGTTTCAGTTTTCAGTTTCAGTTTGGGAAGGACAGGAGGCTCGATGGCCTATGTTAGTCCTGGCAATGGTGGTCTCTCAGTTGATCCAACTTTCTTTTGAAAGAGTCGACGGATGGAGCCTCAACCACGTGCTGAGGTAGTGAATTCCACTCGTTGATGATTCGATGGGAAAGTCGATAGTCAGCTGACAAGTAATTTGTTCTCGGCTTATGAACTTTTTTGGAGTGTCCTCGTAAATTCTCTGTTTTGGAAGACAAGAAAAATGAGGGCATGTTAGGTGCAAATTTATCACTAAGCAATTTGTAGACTGTAATCAAGTCGCCTCTAGTTCTGCGATATGACAACGGGAAAAGGTTCAGCTTGGCCAGTCGAGATTCATACGGAAGCTTCGCTATTGCGGGAACCAGCTTAGTCGCCATTCTCTGAACCTTTTCCAGGAGCTCTCTGTCTTTTTTAAAGCAGGGGCTAGCCGCTTGTATGCAGTACTCAAGTTTAGGACGAACGAACACTGTATACAAAGTCAAAAACGTCTTAGTGTCGACATGACTAAAAGCCCTACGTATTGACCATAACGTTCTAAAACTTTTGGCGGCTATTGCACGGCAGTGTGCAGTAGTCTTTAAGTCTTGACTAACGATAACTCCTAAGTCATTATATGTCTGGACGACAGGTAGCTCAGTGTTATTCATCGTGTATGTATCTGTGCCTTGATGACCGATATGCATCACAACACACTTGGAAGTATTTATCGGCAACTGCCATGTTTGAGACCATTCAGATAACTTCTTCAGGTCATTTTGAAGTTCTAAGCTATCACTCTTACATCGTATCGTTCTCCATATCTTGACATCGTCAGCATATAGCAAGACCGATGATGATAGGAGACAAGGAAGGTCATTTACATACAAGAGGAATAGCACTGGCCCCAAAACTGTACCCTGGGGCACTCCACTAAGCACAGTTTCCCAGCTAGATAACTTTGAGTTTACCCTTACTCTTTGTTGGCGCCCAACTAAGAAGTCTTTTATCCACATCAATAAATTACCTCCAATCCCGACATGTCTTAACTTATATAACAGCCGGTTGTGCGGAACTTTATCAAAGGCTTTACTGAAATCAATGAAGGTGACGTCTACAGGTAGCTTTTGGTCCTTAAGAGCACACCAGCTTTCACGAGCCACTAATAAGTTAGTGAGACAAGAATAACCTATTCTGAAGCCATGCTGCTTCTCCGAGAGGATCCGGTTTTTATCGAGATACTTAAACAGCTCCTTCCGAATAATCTTTTCTAATATTTTAACAACCACACTAGTTAGGCTAACGGGGCGGTAGTTCTCAGGTTTGTGTTTCGTGCCTGTTTTGAAGACAGGACTTACTATGGCGTTTTTCCAATCTTTCGGTAAGCGACCCTGCGTAACGGATAGGTTAAAGCATGTACTTAAAGGGTTCGCAACGAAGTTAGATAATTCCTTCAGTAGCCTAGGATGTAATTCATCGGGCCCCGTGGATTTACCTGTGTCAAGCTTATTTAGCAGATCAAAGACATCGAGTTCTTTAATGGTCACGCTATCCAGTGTATGTATGGGGGGATCTGTATACGCTGACGAGAAGGGCGCTTCTATGGTATACACGTTGCTAAAGTAGTTCGAGAACGCTTGAGCCTTACCAAAGTCGTCCTCCACTAATGATGAAGCAGTACTGTCTCCCCATAGAGCAGGAATATTTCCTTTTCTCCTTGTCCTTTGGTTTATATAGGAATACAAGCGTTTAGGACATTCTATGGATTCCTTAACAAGTTTTTCTTCGTACAATTTTCTAGACTTACGGAGGGTCGAGGCACAAGTGTTCCGAGCCTTTCGATACTGAGATTTTGACTCATCAGTCCCCAGTAACCTAAATCTATCCCACGTTTTCCTTTTCTTACGGAGAAGGATACGGACCTCCCTACTGAACCATGGTGGTGAGTTTTTCGGCCCCTTTGGTATAGTCCAAGGGATGTGAGGTGTGGTAACTTTTAAGTATGATTTTCGAAATGTGTCCCAGGCCGTTTCAATGGAGGACTCTGGGTCTATTGTCCAATTGATAATGCATAAGTTTAGAAACCACAATCAGGAGATATCAATAGACTAACTGTTGATCGTCGGGTTTGCGCTTAGAGTAAAACGGATTCATCAAGATGATGGACGCTATTCCGTCTTTTATTAAATTATTGGCGAGAAAAATTCTCCTCCTATAATAGTTCTAGAAATATAACGCTACTATACAATGGGAATTACATGATCACCGGTTCCAGAAAAGTGTACACAAACTGCGCGATAATTTGTGGGCCACTTCTTAGGAATGATCATTTGAAACCTGAAAACCTGTAATGGGAATTCCAGTTTTACCTTGCGATCCTGTTATCACCTTTTAGTGCATTAGATATGACTGAATCGAATGGAGACATGAATGACCCTTCGATCTGTATAGTGCGGTTGTTCTCAGTTTTCTAAGAATTATGAAGAACTTGCGACCGTACTTTTTCAATATGAACGTCTGTGCTGATGTTCACTGAACAATATTTATCTCGATTCGTCACAACTTTCATATTTTCTATCAACCTATTTCACAATTATATATGTATACGAATATCCACCTTATCAAGGTATCAGGAGCACCCCATCCTTCACTGAAAAACTTTATTGGCACTACACTACGATATATTTTGTCAAATGTACTCATTTTTCCTCAAGTAACCTTGACTACATATTAGTCGTACGTTTGGCCACTAGTGACCCTGAAAACAACCTTCGATTCAATATTCAAACAGTTAATTTTGCTTGACAGAATTAGCAGACAATTTATAAATAGGTATTTGTGTCCAAGTAGTAGATGAGCCTTTCTAATCACTAGTAGGCTGGTTTTTGCCACCCTTATTAGCAAAGTTGAAGGTGAAACAAGCCAGTTAATTCTATTGGAAGCGATCGAGAAGGCACACTCAGTACTTACATAAATGAAGTGGACATCAAATCTTCCTTGAAGATATTCTCGAGGAGGTCTCTTTACTATCGGTAATGACACTGAGTCCTATAGTTGGGTGATTCTAACTTCGAAACGTTTGGTCCAACTTTTGTGCAGTTATATCATCACAAATCTACACACTTATGATTAGGTCTATTATTAGAGCAGTACTAATATCATAGTAGACCATAATTCTACAGTCTGTATTCCATCTTATAGTGATCTCCTGCAAACTGAAAACGATATTGTCGCCTCTATCTTAACAGTGACAGCGTTTTCCATGGCTATCATTGACATGAGTCCAGAGTGACACTCTTGGTTTCTTATGTTCTTTTCGATATTTTTCTGTTCACTAACCGAACAAACATGCAGCACTCACCGTTTATCATCTTTTAGACACTTCATCGTGCCACCCTTGCTGTGGATTTGTAGCCTTCAACCCTTACTGACTGTAACAGCAGTCATCGACTTTTCAAACTCTGACTACAAGTTGGTCAATAGCTTTGCACAACGAAATCACGACCACTCTTCAATGTTATACTTCTGTACTTACGGTTGGTCTGTTAGATATGGATATAACTAGAATTCGACACCAATTAATAGCTGTCAACGACACTGTCCGACTTACAACTTTAAACTAATGACAGTACAAACATGGACATCGATTGATAATACACTTATCCTACTATCGCTATAGCATCATTACTCTTGCGGAAGACTTAACGTTTGTCATCGAAGGAACTGAATTACTTGTCAAGGCTATATATTTCAGCGCGACTTGATAGAACAATAAAACGTTTTGTTCTTTTCATTATTTCTATGGTTAATCAATTTACGTTTAAGCAACGTCCTACTAACATATTATGACTCGCTGTTTCCCGACCAGTTTCTGCCGCCTCCTTTCCATTTGTTTTACAGATAAGCAGTACCTGGAGGATTTATAATATTCGTTTGGCGCTCTCTGGCGCGCGACTGCTCCCAACATGTTTGGCACCGATTCAAACGGCCGTTGAATCTGCTGGGGTAGTATCGTAGGGCCAGTGAAATGTTACTAAGCCCTAGCCAAATCATCCGGCAGTTGGATCACTGAATGTCGAACAGATCATCGCTCCCTGCCAAGGTCATGTACAAGCAACGCGCATTAGTTAATCATATGCCATGGACTGGCCCATGCGGCAGTGGTCTTACTTTCGCTTGTATCTACCTTAACTAATATATTTCTGTAATAACGTCCTCTGTGTTGTACAGTCTTCAAAGCATCTATGGTACCTTGATGCGTCAATGGAGTAGTCCACGTAAGGTGCTGTCCACGAGGTGTGACTTCGACGTTAGCTACTTTATCACACCATTCACGTCTAACTCGAGTAGGCCTCCAATCATTTCGACATAGATCATCTGTGTTGGTGATCTACAATGGCCTTTTATGTACATTTTAATATTTACCAGAGATGCAGATCTATTGTGGTGGTGATTTTCACGGGGGAGATTAGATAACAATAACTGATTACTTCGAGTTCTTTCGTACTGAAAGCCTAACGATTAATTTGATGGTGGGCAGTGTTTAAATTTAGCGCGACTACGTCTTTGGTTGTCCTTTTTTGACACGTCTTAAAAGGGTAGTATATTTTCAACGGTAAAAGGCCATAATGTGATTGATTTCAAAAAGATGATGTCATGGGCAAAATTGAAAACAGTTTTAAAGAGTTTCCGAACAAATATGTCCAATGTTCAGGCTGCATGCGCTAAAGCAGCATGCTTTGTTGGTCGAAGAATGCTAAATGGAAGCGAGCACCAGACACTTACATTGAATGATGCCTGGGATCTTATGTTCAGAAATTGTAATGATTATGCTTTCGAAAAAGTAAGAATCCGTATGATGATAGTTAGTAGTTGAAGTGGCATACCGACTAAGATTTCGAGTCAAATTGAAGACACATAGATCTCGATGAGAACCACTGGGTCGTGGTAACGTATTTGTAGTGGTATTGGTTCTTAACCACACGGTCTTTGAAGGTTCACATTTAATCACTAGGACGATTAACTCTCAACATGTAACACTAAGAGAAGTTCAGCAATTATAAACACGGGAACATTCATGCTACCAGATTTCATGGCAAGCCTTGAGGGCGTAGTTATTATTGTGTAGCCCCATATCTTTCTACAATGAATTTATTATTCTATAACTATCCAAAACACGTTCTTCCTGAGCTCTTAACATCATATTGCTGGGTGTCACGACACGACGATTAAGAACAGACATTGACTGGACTTCCACGTGAAATCCTATTGGTTGGATAGTTATTTAGTGTAACGTCGAGTTGCGGTTGATTATGATCACCACTACAGGAAGACTGCGTGCCAGCTAACCGATAAGGTCCTCCGTAGGATAAATACCAGAAGGCAGTTGGTGGCTGCAGTCGAGATGTATTTGTTGGCGATCTCGTGGTATCGAAAGAATACCGAGATCGTGCCATGTTACAAGTGCGGTTATTGAGCGTAACCGAATTCGTGCAAGGTCACAATTCACGGAAGAATGTGTCTTGGTACAGGTAAACAAACACGTACGGCAAAACAATCCCTGGTACAGTTGGTTATAATAATAATTGTTTCAATTATACCAATCACGTTCCCTTGATAAAAGTAGGCCACTACAGTTACATCATGACAGATCTATAATAACGGGATTAGGTCTATCATTGTAATAGCACACATAACAAAGTGGACCACAATTCTACGTATTTGGTTGACGTGGCTGGCATCCATACAAGCGACAGATTAACCAATACTCCTGGATTGTCGACGATCGGTTCCTCGATAGCAAGTAACATCAGCAGGCCGTAAACATTCCGTTATCGGATCGATAGTCTGTTGCTTAAACAACTTCATTAGTGTTTCTTTGTACGTATAGTCTAGCGATTCTACAGTGAAAGATTTTATGAACTTCTTTCCAGGTCTTTGAGTTTCGCAGCAGTAATGGATTTTATTACCGTTTTCAAGGCCTTAACACCTAGTTGATCATCATAATGAGAGAACTCTGTAGTTGTTCATATATCTTCCCATCTCGAATCTGTCATCAACAACTTACTGATCATTGCATTGAAACCATCCCCAACAGTCAATAAGAACGTTTGTCCTTGGAGCATTTTTAAATTTTCCAGCACTAGGATAAATGGTCCATAATCAGTGATGAGGAAGTCGAAATCTAAAAATAAAGCCTTACCATCTCTGATCAGTAAATTACTAGACCCGTGTATATGAATTTTATAGTTAACAATATCCGAAATAAAAATTTCGGTAGGTTTCATCATGGAATTTAACGACTTCAACCTTTCAACTAATGTGAAAGATTTTGTATTATCAATGTCGACAGTAATGTTATGGAAGACATCACTGCTAAAGTATAATCGCTTTTGAATATGAAGTGAACGATTCAAAGTGGTAAATAAGAATAGTATGCGATTAGTAGAAACAATCAAATAATTAGAATCCGAATTACAGGGTCTAAGATCACTAACAGTAATAACATATCTGCAAGGGCAGGAACGCGCCATTTTTACAGGCATGATATACAAATTACAAAATTTATTGTTTCACAGTATGTATGTTAAATAAAGAGTCTATAAAAGCAAATATCCGTTCATTCCTCCAGATAAACTGAGTAGTATTCAAAATATTCTCCAAATTGACATCGTGTCCACGTTATACACCAGACACAATCTCAGCATAATTATGTTAGAATTTCGGCAGTTGAAAGTACTTATGCAATGCAAATTTTTAAGTTTATGGTTGTTATAAAGTATGCTTGTAGAACGCTTGGTGTAAACCATTACCTTGGGAAGACACTCAAGATGCCACAGGTATTTGGATTTTGATAACGCTTTAACCAGTAACACCTTCTCACATGAATCGTACTCACCAAGTGAAATCAAAAGACAGAGGCTAGGAGGTTGGAACAAATATTTGATAGACTATCAATACATCGTGAATCGACTGATCTAATCTGGCTAGCGATCGCAGGGGATTTTCCCCCACCTAAAGCATACAGCCTGACAAATACATATGAATTGAGTTAATGAAGCTTGCTACATGTAAAACATCTAATGAACTTGTGATGACCATTTAGTACTTCTTTGTAACTCCTTGATGAGTTATTTTCTGTTTTTACAAGCATCTGAATTTCACACAATTAAAGGTTTATCCATGTTGCCTTGTGCAGGAGTCGAATAAGGTCAGCTAAGCAATGAAGTAAGATTATTCATATCTTGCAAGTTAGTTTGACGAACTGTTCATGATCTGTAACTGCAGTTTTAGTATTCAATAAAACGTTTTGACATTTGTAAAGGCTGTTTCTAGGTTTGGCATATTAATCCCTGTAATTGATTGATCACTCAGCAACTGTACATGAAGTCGATCACCGAAATCTCATTTGGTGACTTGTTTCCGCTATTTGGGAATGAACTCTTCAACCTTATGGTTATTTCGGCGAATCGTTTCATGAAATTTCGCTCTTTCACGCCTTTGGAATCTTGTACACATTACAAGGCCTAATAGTAACTTTTTGGGAGCTTAATAAGAAGGTCGAATAGACTTATATGGAAACACCAAGTATTTTAGGATGCTATGGGCATACTTTCCTTTAAAAGTAAGGAAGAGAGGTACCATGTTGTCATTTCATGTACTCTTCAAAAGCTTCAGCGTTTGGATGTATATTTATTTGTCTA